TTTTTTTTTTGTACTGTGGATCGAATTTGGGTTCTTGTGCTTGCAAGGCAGGCAGCGGAACCAGTGAGCTAAATCTCCAGCCCCAAGAAACCCATTCCTTTAAGACTCCAGTGTGACTAGTTCCCCCACTGGTCTTGGAATAGGGAAAATGAATCAAGAAGACTGAAAAACTACCTGTGATCCCACCTCCCAACCTAAGTGACCCAACCTTGTCTAGGCCTGCCTCTCCTAGCCTCAGAAGCTATATTTCACTGGTATGTGGCCACCAACTCCTTAGAACAGGACTTAGGAAAATAATGGTAACTGCACGGGATTGCCAATAATTGCTTTGAACTGAATCTTCATCACTTGCTTTTCTTCTTCTCACACTTATTCTTGATTTCCACATTCTGATTTTGATTTTGATATTTCCTGTTTCTATAGTGGAAATTAGTTAGACCACTTTCTGTATGTAAGGTACGATAGCTTCGTTCTCACTTGACCCCTCTTCTAGGATAATGACTTCCTACTCTCAGAAAATATTTCGATACCCTGGCATGCTGGCACACACCAGTAACATCAGCACTTGGGAGACTGAGGCATGAGGATCTCCATGATTTCGAAGCCAGGCTGGGCCAAATAGTGAGACCCTGTCTCAAAAATGATTTTTTTTTCATAATAATAGCCATTTGTACCATATGTAGAACATTAGATTCTCCAGGATTTTACCTTATTTTTCTCATAATTTATACAATAAGAGTACACACTATGTTAAAGTGAAATTACTAAAATTATTTGAGCAGGTAACTTTATGAAGTATAAAGTGCTTAGTACCATGTAGATAATTGGTGGTTTGTGCTACTGAAAAATAATTACAAGCAATTCGGTTCTAATAGTCATTATAATTATTATTATTGGTCTTTTGGGTGTTCTTGAACTCACTATGTAGCCCAGGGTGTACTTGGATTTTCAGAGATCCTCCTGCCTCAGCCTCCCAAGCATTGCAAATATGTGCCACCATGTCCAACTTGTTGTCATTATATTAGAAACAACAACAACAAGAAGAAGAACAACAAATAGACCTCTTGAAGTGCATGAAATTTCCACAGGAGGAGGGACGAATAGCCAGGATTGAGACCAGGGTCTAACGGACTCTAGTTTCTGCTGCCTTCTTGTATTTTTGTCCATGCCATGCTTTACAGAAATCCTTGAAGTTACTTTCTCTTTGCAGGATGCTGAAGGGACCATAAATCCAGAGAATCTGCAACATAAAGCTGCCTGCTGAAGGATGATTCAGTTTCTAGGGAGTTGCTGCCATACTCTGCAAGGGTGGGCTGTGTGTGACCCTTGCATCCACAGGAAGACAGGTGAGCACCCGGGATGGCTCTGCCACAGCGCCCTCTCCCCAGACACTGGAAGTCTTTCTTCCTGGAGTCCTGAAGCTGTGGCCCTGACTCTAGTCTGGCTGGGTTCCTCCCAGCATGCACTGTCCATGGACTTGGGCGCCTGAACTGCAGTGAGTCCTGAATCAGCTTCTTAATGACAAGGCCTGCTTCCACCGCCAGCCTACGTCCGTCCCTTGCCTAGGCCTGTGACAGTGGCACCTCTCAGCAGTGGTCGCAGAATGGGAGAGGGCGTGTCCAAATCAGCAGCGCTAGCATCTCCCCGGCCCCAAAGCCTCTGAGCAGCTGAAGATGGAGGCCTGAATAGACAGGATGATGGTTCCGCTGTCCTCTGCGGACCTCCTGGGGAGTGTGAACCCTGGGGACTGCAGGATCCCCTCATCATCCCAGCACTGGCACCACAGAACCCTTGCAGAGGGAAGTTCTTCTGTACCATCCTTTGAGGCCTTCGGTGATGGACAGCTCCCTTTCTGCCCATCCTCCCAAACACCGAGCATGCTCTTAGACCCAGGGACACCACCCACCTCCACCTGGTCTGACCTACCAGGCTGGGCTCCTCTCACTTTTTCATTGTATGCTTTGGGGTATTCAATTTCCCTTTTTTTTCATTTTATACATCATTTTCATTTGCTGCAAAGAACACTGGACAGTTTTATAGCCAAATAACAAATGTGTCATGTGAAAATAAGTATGGATTAAAGATTTCCCAATATTGAATCCTCACATCTCAACTTAAAATGCATCACAATAAAGAAAGCCAGTGGATCATTTGTACCATATGTCGAACATTTATTGAAATGGAAATTATTCCCTAATAACCCTATCGAGTCTATGTCCAATGAGAACGTGGGGACCAGTGGACATGTGTAGGTAGCCTTCCGTCTCCTGCCTGGAGGCAGCAGCTGTGGGGCTTTTCCTATGTGACCTTTCCACGATCCTATGAGAAAGGAATAGCTTTCAGGATGGGAACAGCATGGGCCCCTCTGGGCATCTGCCCTGTAGGAACAGACAGGAGTGCCACACTTTGAGACACACCACCCAGTGGTCTGAGCCTTGACTGCTTCATCTGTTTGAGCCTCCAACAATAAGTCCATGAGTGTAGGCCTGCTTTACAGAGAGGGAAATGCAGGCACAGGGATATGACATAGTGTGCCCAAGGTTACACAGAGTGAGCAGGAAAGCAGGACACCTTCACGCAGGCTGGCAGCCTCTAGATGCCCCAGATGCATTAGCACTGGCATTCCTGGACCAACAATGCCTAGATGAGCCTCCTGCCACCCTGATGAAATCCCGGGACTGAGGGTTGGGTCTGAGTTTCTTCCAATCCATCTGATAGGAAACTGCTTCTCCTCTGGCTCTGGTAGAGTCTTGTTCTGGGCTGTACTGTAAACTCCTCTGTACCTGAGCAGTTCCAACTTGAAAACTGAGGACAAGGAATTATTCCTCCTGTCTTTCTGTGCAGAAGGCATTTGAGAGACAATATCATTATCGTTCAAAACAAACGCATATAGGGAAGGATTGTGACTTCCAAAAACAACCGTAGTTTAGTTGGATGAAGACTGTGGCAGAGCTGGGTGCTGCCTGAGATGATTTGACTTCCAGTCCATCATTAGTTTTGGTAATGACTAGGACCTCTTCATTCTGTGGTCTACATCATGGTCCTTAACCTGCTATCACAAATCACAGACCATAAAGGACATCAGAAGGGTAGTGAAAATGGAACAATGCATATAGTGCCACCATCAGGTCAAGGGGAAAATGTGCTTTTCATCTTCCGCCAAACATCCTCCCTTTTAGGTTTTGCTTTTCCTCTCCCACAGTATTCTGCCCTTCTTTTCTCTTTTCTCTCTGCCTCTTTCTCCCTCTTCCATGGCTACTTGCTCCCGGACCTGATACATTTGCTGAAGGTCAAGGCAAGTTCAAGGGCATGGTCTGTGTTACATCGATAAGCGAGGTTGAATGAAGTCAGCCCCACCTACACCAGCATGGACTGCCTGCCCTGACCCATTATCATTTGGTGTGGTATCAGCATCTGCTCTCCCTCCCTCTAAGTGGGCATATTCCTGGCATAATGATTTAGGGCAGTGCTGTGCTCACTGTGCACCCTGAAACAGCGAGGTGTCCCTGTCTTTCAGACACCCGCTTTCCAACTTTATAGCAGGCAGCGAGTGATCAGGGACCTGGGCAGACTCCTTAGACCTCCTGCTTGGTGCTGTGAGCCTGCAGCAGGTGACAAAGAAGGGAAGGACACTGAGAACCATTGCATTCATTGATGTAGGGGTGGCCCCACCCAGCAGGGGAGGCATCTAAGGATGGCTGACTGCAAGGATGCTGTGTCTGCTGGTAACAGTGTCCACGGATGGCACAGCCCTGCGAAGACCACTGTGACTCCATCGATGGCCCCACTGAACTGGCTGCCCCCATCCTTCTTCCTGTAGCCCCCTTCTAGCTTTCTCTCCATTCTTCGGCATTCACGCTCCACCCGGTGCACTCCTCACTCTTCTATGAAATAGGCTGAGTTCGGTGAAGACACCCTGTGACCAACAGCTCCACCCTAGATGTGGACCCCACAGAAATATGCCCGTGTATTCATCAAGAGAAATATGCTAGAGTGTTCACAGCTGTGCTGTCCATGGTAGCCTCTAACCTGCAAAGTACCGAAATGCCCATGGAGCAGGACTAAAGGACTTAGGGACAGTCGTAGAAGGGAATAGTATACAGGAAGGGCAGTGAACAGACTGCACCTCCCCCTTGACAGGGCACCCCAAACCTCATGTTGCCTGAGGTGAGGCAAGCGTGCACTAAGCTGTTACAAGTAGAGACCCAAGTTCCTCCGAAGGTGACAGTAACCGAGAGGGAGTTGTGGCACAGCCTCCGGAAAGCTCTGTGTCTTCATCTTGTTGCCTAGCACACAGCGTGTTTAAATGGTGAAAATTCTCCCAGCTGCACACTTTGGTTTGGGTGCTCATCTGTACGTTTGTTGTATTTCAATGAAATGTCAAGTTTTGTGGCTTTCAAAAACACAAAAAACAACAAAATAATTTCACCTGACGTTTCTCCAGAAGAGCAACCAGAGTATTTCCTCATCTCACACATTTGTGGGGGGACTCAGTGCAGCAGCGTGAGCACCAGGCTGAGTATATGCTGAAGGCATGGCACCGCTTTGTGTGTTTCATAACCACTTTGGATAATATACGGAAACTTGAAAATGCATCCCTTTAATAACAGAAACCAGGAGAAATGAAAGAAAGGTGCACTAGACAGGGTGGCTTGAGGTTAAATTCTCTGACCGTTAGAATCTAAGAATGGCCAGATAAATTTTCACAAGTAACTTCTGTTGTACCCAATTTGAATAGAACATGACAATTATTGCTTTTTATTTTTTGGAGACATGGTCTCACCATGTAGTTCAGACTGGCCTTGAACTCACTGTGTAGCCCAGGCTGGTCTCAAATTCAGCAGCAATCCTCCTGCCCCATCCTCTGGGATGACAGGTGTGTGCCGTCACACCAGAAGAATCATTACTGTACTTGTGTCTAAAACTATACATGATAGAGAAAATACAAATGTACATGTCCAGAATTACATATGCAAATGTCATGAAAAGTAACACAGTTTTCTATGGATGTACTTTCTTTTATTACTAGCCACTATATTTAAGTAAGTTTAGCTTAATATTATATGGCAATTACATGGTGATAGAGCTCAGTTCTTTTGCTCCCCGTGATCTCACCGTGGCCTCCAGTTTATCCTGCACAACTTCATCACGGGGAAGATGTTCATTCCTCCAGGCCGGTGTGAACATATATGGACTCTCACAAAAATCCTTTTGAAGAAAAACAATTTTTCACAGCCATAGGTCCCTTGACACATTTCAATCTCAGTGACTGCCTGAAGTTTGTCTCTGCCTTACCTGTGGCTTAGGCTGGACTTCAGGCTTGGTTTCTCCATGAAATCCTCTTATTTTCAAGAATTCAGAGCCTCAGTTGCCGTTCTCCGACCGCAGACGCTGTGTTCGCACTTCTGACATCTCTTCACTCCCATCGCACTTGTGCATACATTTCTCCTCCTTTCCCATCCTTGGTCCTTGCCTTATTTTCCAGGTCTGTGCTTCTGTTCTGGCCTCACTCACCTCCCTACCCAATGAGAAAATGAACGGTAGGCCATGGAGGGAGAGGATCATGGTCATATATGCTGCTCAAGAGCAGCACATTCTTAGGAACTTCTGCTATTGCCCTCCAACAAATGCTTGGCTTGGACTCTCGCTGTGAGTCCTGAGGGATTGTGTTCCGAGACTGGCAGTGTCAGCAACCCCATTCTCAGGCACCGGCAAAATTTACCACCTGAGTGGGAGAACCTGCACCTAGAAGAGGATATTGTAGAAACTGTTGAAACCCAAGATGGACACCGCAGGGCACCATTTGACTCACGGGGAGTTCCAATCGGACTGAGTCACCTATTGCAAGCACATGAGCAGGGAACATGTTTTTTTTTGGGGGGGGATTGTGGGTGTGGCTCGGTGCAGCTTCTGTACCACTGAGGAGAGTGGGCCTGCGTTGAGAGGGATCAAGCTGCTCCCGACCAGTTCAATAATATTCTGCAATTTGAAGAGCCCGTTTCCTCCCTCTCTGATTTCCAAATGACCGTTCATGTACATGGAACTTCTACCTGTTCCTCCCAGTATCTCTGGTGTCTGGTTCTATTCAGACACTTTCACTAAAAACAAACTTTAGTTTTCAGGACTGGATTCCCTGTTATAAAGGGATTTTATTAAATTGCTTGGGACATACTGTAGGTTAAATAATATTCGCTGATGACAGCATTATGGATTGTAAAGCCCACCATAAAATTCATAGCTTGAGGGAAAACCTCCCAGGGAGCTGAACATCAGGGGCTGCGGCAGTGGGAGTGGTAAAGGAGGAGCTGCTGGGGGCAGAGTGCGCAGGTGGACATGAAGGCCCAGGTTTTGTGGACGTTCTGCACTGGGGCCGGCGCCCTGGAGCTACGCCTGATTCAGTTCTTCACTTGAGCAATTCGCTTGACGAATCAATCCCCTCAGTGTAGGGATGTGGACTAGAGAAACGGCCCTTGGATGGCGGAGTGGGTAAGCCCTTAGTGGGCTGGGTCCAACCAGGGTTAGTCATCACAGAAGCGGAAGTATTCAAATTGCCCTGTAAATGGCAAAGGGGAGAGAACATCAGGAGCATCAACCAGCAGTCAGGAGCGCACGCTTCGCTTCACAGTAACTTAGTCCCAACACTGACCCAAGCTGAGGATCTTCACCTTCAGGGGCCTTGGTGTTCCTGAGCTTTGGAACAGAGCCCCTTCAGCCAACCGCCCTCTGCTCCTCCCAAACAAACTCACCTTACTTCAGAGGGGTCCTGGCTGCTTACTCAGCCTCGCTGCTGCTAAAGTGAACACGAACCCCACAGCACCGCCATGAGTGACCCTCTGGCCTTCGGGATCCAGGCCTGGGGCAGCACCTAGGGGCGTGGCAGCAGCCCATGCAGCAGGTGCGGAGCCAGCAGAGACAGCCTCAGAACAGCCAGCCAGACTCCAGCAAGGCCCTGGAGGCCTCCTGCAAAGGGCACACTCAGCCTGGGCTCGCCAGGACTGCTCTTCGGGAACCCTCTCCGCAGGACTACAGGGCAGCCTGGGCGGTGCTTGTCACTGGCTTCCAGTCCCCTTGGGCGGGACTGAGGGCTGGCACAGGCCCCCAGCCAGGAGCAGGAGGGCCCTGGATGGCCGCAGGCACTTCCCCTGGAAATCAGTGTGAAACAAAACTTGTTTGTAAGCAGAGGTTTTCGCATTTGATGCAGGACCTTTGTTTTGGTCAGGAAAACTATATTTGGATTAATAGAATTTTTCTAAAAGTCGGAAAAATCAGTTATGAAAAATTGCTGGTATTTTTTTATTATGTTTGTTTGTTATTTTAGATATGGGCGGCCTGGGTTTCTTTCTGGATGATGCCTGCAAAAGCAGGTGCCAGGATGTGCCTCGGAGCAGTGAAGCAGAGACATTTTCACGTGGGATTTTTTTGTTTGCTTTTTCTGTCTTTTGCATTACATTTTTTTCTGTTACAAATTAAACGAGTTTGGAAGTGTAAGTAGGTAACAAATTCTTCAAAAAACTCTTTAAAAGTATTTAAATATTTTAAAATGTGTACATTTATAAAGAGTTTTACTTCTCATTTCTTAGATTTCTATTTTTATTCCTTATTATTATCATCATCATATTTACTATTATTATTTGACACAGGGCCTCTGAATGGTGGCCTTGAACTCACTATGTAGCCCAGACTATTTTTGAACCCTCCAGGATTGTCCTGCCTCAGCCTCCCAAGATCTGGGATTACAAGCCTTCACAACCAGGAAAAACTGAAAGATTATGTATTGTAATTAATTCTGTGAATTCTGAATTGGTATCATTGTATTGCTGTCTGACAGGGATTGGGAGAAGAAGTTTTATAGGCCTTGTATAATTTCTAGAGTTCAGAAGGATAAACCAAAACTATGCTGTGCTTAGTATACTCATTTTCATGTCTCTAAGACTGGTTGCATTTCTGTGTCTAAGACCACCAAGCTCATTTTAAAAACAAAACAAAAAACCTTTACTTTTCACACACACACACACACAAACACACACACACACACACACACACAGTTATTTTTAGTATTATAATTTCAATATAATTTTTACCAAACACTATGCAACATTACACCACATAAAATTGTAGGAACTATTTTTAATTCCAATGTGTTTTTTGCTTTTTCCTTTAAAATATTTTCCTTATATTTGTCAGAGTAACTACATGAATAAATAAATCTAGTATTAAACACAGTATGAATTAAATAATTTTGATGTAGTAAAGGGATAATAAGATTTCTGATGTATACTGTAGCATATCTAGTAGAGATGTCATGTATTTATAAAGAAAAACGGAATTGATACTTTTTTCTTGGATTTTTGATTGATGTTTGTGACATTGCATTTGAAATGTACTGAAATTTCAGTTGCTCTGTTTTCCTCCTGGCTTTCCTTACAATGTGTGAAATGTCTATTAAATAGGCAATTAGAGTATGTTAAAAAAATAAAATGAATAGCTTCAAAAGTGTTGGTAGTGTTCCCCAGCAACAGCATCATTACATAATCCAAATACCTAGAAATTAAAAAATCTAGGACTAAAATGGATACTTTTTGAGGATATACTCCTTAGTGAAATAAATAACTCAAACTTGTAAATACTGAATAGTTTCTCTGGTGTGAAAACTATAATAGTACACAAGATTCTAATGAGACAATTAACAATGTGAAATAGGATGAAAAGTGCTAAAGGTGTAAGGAAAGTGGGAAGGGTAGGGGAAAAGAAATAAGGGAAAAGAAAAAAATATGAAAAAATGGAAATAAAACATTTGAAAATCGGGAGGGGAGGAGGGGGCGAAGGGAGGGCAGGGGTAAGGGGAAAAATGAGAACCAAGACCTGTCATGTAAAGGTACAAGATCCCAATGATGAATGTAACTGTAATGTGTACCTAAAATGTACCAATAAAATCAATTAAAAAAAAGTCTAGTACTAGGTGGCAACTTAGAAACCATTCGGCCTAATAGCCTGATGTTGAGAAATAACTGCACTCAAAGATTAAGGCATTCACCAAAGCTCACATACCTAAGAGTAATAAAGCTAGAAATCAAACCATTTCTTCCTAAAACTAAAATGATGTCCGTAACATTTCAGCTGGTTCCCCACTAACTAAATGCCTAGGCTTTTCTCTACTGTTCCAGGCTACTGTGACACAGAAGAGTGATGAGACACTCCAGTCAATCTCAGCCTTGGACTTGAGGCTTGGAAGGGGATTCAGCAAAGAAAGCTGCCCTCTCTGCAAAATGAAAGAAAGTGTGTGAAACTACAGAGTAAATGCTTGTTAGTGGAGATATCTGGAATCAGAGCTAGACAGTGAAAAATTTACCACCAAATTCTACCTCTAGTTTCACGGTCCATCAACTAAATTGTGTGTTCTTTCACATCTCCTTTAGGAGTTGAGGTTTTAGTTACACAAAGACCTCTTCCATCCAACAGAAGAAATGAAGTCAAACATGGAGATAAAAGTCAATCTATAGTTTCTATATTTTCACAGCTGTTTTGAGAAATGGCTTTCCAACCTCAGTGGACAGATACCACTGACCTGATCAGCTGTTTCAGAGCTTTGAAGATCCTTAATTTTCCTGAATATTTCCTCAGCACAAGGGCTGCATGTGAGAATTCAACGAAAATAGGAAAGAGTCAAAATAAAAGTTAAAAATTGGGTGCCTTTGTTCTTGTGACTGGGGACCTTTGATCTTTTAAGCATTCCTCGAGTTCCTCCACATGAGTTTTTAATATCTATGTAGCAAAAACTAATAAACAAACAACATCAACAAATCAAGGGGGGAAACAGGAACCAAAACTACAGGGCTCTAGAAGTCAGGACACTGTACAGCTCACCATCACCCCCGACAGCAGGGCACTGCCTCTAGGGCCAGGCCTTCCTCTCGGGCCCCAGCAAGCAGCACCTTTGAGGGGTAGGGGGATGGTTCAGCTTTGCAGGGTCCCTCTGAGAGACCCTTGGCAGGGCCTTCCCTGGCCCCAGCTCATGCTGCCCATGCTCAGAGAGCTCCTACATTCAAAATAAAGTTGTGGAACACTTGGCAAGAATCAATGAATCAAAAATGAACCTTACCTCAGCCTCCCCGACAAAAGGGCAATTCGTTAGTGAGTGCTATCAGACGTTAGTGGATCAGGGTAGATATATATCAGGTTTTCTTTCCAGTGGCTTTTACGGGTTTTAAGATTTTAGTTGTTAGCCAAAAGTTTTCTGTGACTGGTATTTTTCACTCCTTGTTGAGGACTCTCTGGTGGATGCAGGGGCTAATCTCTGACTGAAGTGCTTCTCACACTTGGAGCATTTATAGGGCTTCTCCTAGGTGTGGATTCTTCAATGCTCACGGAAGGGGGAGGTGTCCCTGAAGCCTTTCCACACTC